GCCTAATGAATCCCACTATTATGTGTCATTATAATGCACCAATTTATAAAAAAAAAAAAAGAAAGAAAAGAAAGCAGAAATAAGTAAGCCACCTCAAAAGGAAGGAAAAGATCCCCAGCCCCATTCTGGAGGGACAACATCTTGACCTCTTCTCAAAGGGAGTCTTATATGCAGACCCAGGTGCTGCTGGGGGGGCTGGTGGCGTGGAGGGAGATAAAAGGCTTTCTGGAGGCCTCTGACCCCGGCGTCCCATGGGAAAGGAGCCAGGAGGCTGCTGGCTGGCAGACAAGCAGGTGTGTCCCTGAGACGCTGTGGAGATTAGCTGGGGCTCAGCCAAACCTCTGCAGGAGGCAACCCTCTCCTGACTCTCTCTTGAGACCTTGGCCTTGGCTCCTGTGGCATCAAATAAGCCAGATGCAGAAGGGACGTCAACCAGGCCTTTTGTGAATCTGGGGTCCCTGAGCCGGCATCTGGACACCATCAACACACACTCAGAGCAAGGCTGCAGGGTGTGTGTCAGGAAAAGAGAGGGAAGGGCTGAAAGCCAGTGATCCGGGAGGAAGCCTCCCATGTGTTGGGATCCGTATCTTGGAAGGAAGTGTCGGCCACCCTCAGAAGACTAGGCATCACTTCTTTTTCTGGAAAACAGAAGTTCTAGGGGAAATTGTAGTGTCTGCTCTTCGGCAAAGGTGAAATTCAGAAGACTCAAGGGCTGAGAGCTCAGAGTTTTGGAAACACTAAAGAAAGGAAGCTTATCAGCAACTTCAGTGGTGGGAGGAGGGGAAACAGGTCCCCATCAGTGCAGATGTGTCAGGTTGGCACAATGTCCAAGCACTGACTTTAGATCTAACAGATCTAAAGTATGTTGGAATCCTGACCCTGCTATGCATTAGCTGTGTGACCTTGAACAGGTCATTTTACCTCTAGGAACATCCAAATTTCAACCTAAGATGAACCTAACAAGGACTTCCTCATAGAATCATTTGAGCATTAATAGGATACCTTACATAAACACTTGTCACCATATCTACCAATAGAAGGTGCTCAATAAAAGTTAAACCTCTTTTCCCCTCTCTTTCAAAAAGATGGAAAATACAATATAATAAACAAGGTACTTACTGTATAAATAAAATTTACATTGTACATTTATGTAAGATAGTAGGTAAAATCCTTACATTTTTAGACATATAGAAACTCTTTCCCAGCAAGGGTAAGTCACTTGCCCATCCTCATTCAGAAGGAAAGAATTAAGTCAAAACACAGATCTCCTGGATGATATTGTTGCTGTTTGATTGGTTCCATGAAAATAGCCTTGTACTATGTCTCAGAAAGGTCTGATTCTGGCCATGGCACAAGCTAGAACACAAACCACCCCTTACAGAGGTATCTATCAAGAAAATGGTAGGTGTAACTGTCTTTCAAACACAATTAAAACTCACCAGGAAAAATGTGGAATGTGTGGGGTTTGGGTGGGGATAGTATCCATGACTTTAAGTAACAGCTTAACTGTTGAGTCTATTTTTCATTGCTGTGACAAAACACCTGAGGTAATCAACTCACAAGAAGTAAAGGTTTATTTGGGATCATAGTTGCTTGGACATGTTGCTTTGGGCCAGTTGCAAGGTAGGGAATGCATGGTGACAAAAGTCTGTTCATCTTGTTGTAGCCAGGAAGCAAAGAGAGAGAAGGAGAGAGGGGCCAATGTCCCAATATCTCCTCAAAGGCCATGCCCCCAATGACCTAACTTCCTCCCACTAGACCCTACCTCTTTTCATTTTTTTTATATTTTATTTTTATTTATTTTTTTATATTTTATTTTGAGACAGGGTCTTGCTAAGGTGCTTACAGCCTCACTAAATTGCTGAGGCTGGCTTTGAACTCAGGATCCTCCTGCTTCAGTCTCCCAAGCTGCTGGGATTAAAGGTGTGTGTCACCACACCTGGCTAGACCCCACCTCTTAGAGATTCCACCACGTCCTGATAGCGCCACAGGCGAGTGACCAAGCCTTCAACACATGGGCCTTTGGGAGACATTCAAGATCCAAACTATAGCAGTAACCAGGAGTGGTCTTATTTTAAACTGTGTCACACTCACATCCACATATAAAACAGTTCATCAAAATAGCTGGAAATGCAATGTCCCACTCGCGGATAATAAGAACATAAGTAACTTCATTTTATTTTGTTATGGTTTAGATATGAGGTGTCCCCAAAAGCTCATGTGTGAGACCATGCCAGAGGGTTTAGAGGTGACATGATCGTGAGAGCTGTAGCTGAATCAGTGGATTAATCCACCAACATAGATGAACCAGGCAGTGACTGCAGACAAGTAGGGTGTGACTGGTGGAGATGGGGTTTATATTTTGTCCCTGGGCAGAGGCGCCCTCTCTCTGCTTCCTGGTGGCCCTGTCCTGAGCTGCTTTCCTTCGCTCCACCTTTCAGCCATGATGTTCTGCCTCAGTTTGGGCCCAGAGCTATGGAGTGGGTCAAGCGTGGACTGAGACCTCTGAAACTGTGAGTCAGAATACACCTTTCCCTGCTCTAAGTGGCTCTGGTCAGGTCATTTGGTTGCAGTGACACAACAACGTTGACTGACACAGGACTCGTGTGGATGAAAGACATGATCTCCTTACACAGCACTGCCATCACCACCCAGCCAGCTGTGCCACAGCTGGAGCCCACCAGGCAGGCACTCGGGCCAGGTGTGGTAAGCGCCCAGTTATCATCACAGGTGCCCAAATGTTCCATTAAATAACCTCAGAGAAAAGGAAATAAACGGAAAGTTTAAAAAGCGCTCGAAAATAGCATTATTCTTTAACTCAAAAATGTCTGTACAGGTCTTCCCAATAGTTGAAATTTGGGGAACTTCTATAATGATTATGGTGACGGGAAATCACTATAAATGTGTTACTTGTCTTGTTCCCGTTAGAGCTGGTAAAGTTGTGTCATTCAACAAGGGTTGACTGAGCGCACTCGCCTTGTGCCAGATACACGCTCAGGGCTCACCCGACAGGGAGCAGCTGCTGTCCGAGTGCTCCTCCAGGGGAGCCCTGCGTGAGGGCGGTGTTAGACGTGGAAACAGGCACTGCACAAAACAGATCGCAGACCTAAAAGTCAGACCTGAAACTAGGAAACGCTTAGAAGATTTGGCCACCAAAAGCACAGGCCACAAAAGGAAAACTGGATAGAACTGGATGACATAAAACCTTGTTCTACTAAACAGAGAAGAGCATTTGCAAATCATCTATCTGATAAGGGATCCAAAATATACAAAGAACTGCAACAGCTAAGCCACCACAGCCATAAAAAGACCTGATTCAAACGTGGATAACCGACTTGAAGATTCGACGCTTCTCCAAAGAGCAACAAAGAACTGAGAAAATATGGATGACCTGAAACTACGCTCCACATCACTAATCATTCAAGTAATGCTCATAAAAAACGTAATGAAAGACCACCAGGCTATGGATCACAGAAAAGTCAAACACAAAACAAAAAGGGTTGATGAGAGAAGGAGATCCAGGGGCAGAATGGAGGGGCGGGGGGATGCACAGTGAATTCTCTAAAAATCATGAGATGTACATGTATAAATATACCACAGGGAATTTCACCTGTATGCATAAGTAACAAGAGCCAATCAAATATAAATAAATAGATAAGCTACAGGAATCCTAGTAAAGTAGAGGAAGGAGAAGAGGGCCAGGGAGAGGCTGGACGGCAAAGTAGGGGGGATCATGAACTGAAGTCAAACTCCACGCACGTATGATTTTGTGAAGATGAACCCAACTATCGTGTGTATCTACAAAGCTCTTATAAAAATAAATAAATAATTTAAAAGGACTGGGAATGTAGCTCAGTGGTAAAGCACCCCTGGGTTCAATCCCTGTACCCCCACCCCCGCAAAAAAAAAAAAAGTATTGATGAGGACATGGGAGAATTGGGATTCTTTGTCAAATGTAAAATAAAGTAATCTCTATGAAAAATAGTGGTGGAGGCTCAACAAATTAGAAATGTAATTATTCGTTGATCCCTCAATTTCACTTCCCAAAAAAATTGAAATCAGGAACTCAAAGAAATATTCATACCCATGTTCTCAGCAGTGTTATGGTTAATAACCAAAAGATGAAAGCAAACCGAGTGTCTGTGAATGGAGAAACAAAATGAAAGACTCTTCAGCCCTAAAAAAGTGAAGGAGATTTCCACTTGTGCTCTGACATGGGTGTGCCTGGAGGGCACTGTGCTAAGTGATGTCAATCTGTCACAGAACAACAAAGGATTCCACTTAAATGAGGTAAGGAGGGTAGTTCAAATTCATGGGACAGAGAGTAGGAAGATGGTTGCCCGGAGCTGGGGAGAGGTAGGAAGGAGGAATTATTGCTTAACAGGCCCAGAGTTTCAGCTTTGCAAGATGACCAAGTTTCTGTGGATGGTGGTGACAGCGGCACACAGATGTGATTGCATTTAACAGGGCTGCATTTTTTCACTTCAAAATGGATTCAGTGGTGACTTTTATGTTAAAACAAAACAAAACAAAGTAAAACAAAACAAAACAAAAACGGATCTATTCATCACCATGCAGCAGAAGCCAGCCTAGGTCTCTCGTGTCCTGACTGATATGGCAAGGGACCCAGAGAAGCACCCAACAAATCTTAGCATTCAATGTGAAAGTAGGATCTCCAGAGCAAAGAAGAGAAAAATCCTGTTGAAGAAAACCAATCGACTGCAGAGCCCAGTCACATCTCTCCCTGGAGACCAGCAGCCTCGATGGAGCTCAAAAAAACCAGAAATGTCACATTTCTCCATTGAGAGAAGCCATGGAACGTGCCATTTCATCTCCGTCAAGTAGGTACATAGGACAGATGAAAATGTCCTAAATCGGTAACTTTCGCTTTTAACTCGAGAGGGGTGCGCTTCATGTTTCTGGCAGGGCCAGGAGGACTAAGGCACCCCGAAGGTGTTGGGTTTGGGAGACAAATATTGAACTTGCTGCTGAGAACTTACCAATTGTGATTCATCCAGGAGATCCCCGGAGTCTGGGCTCCTCTTCCGTGGTGAAGATTTCCTGAGGGGCCACTGCCTTGGAGAGATGAGACCATCGGGTGTGGGATGCAGGCATCTCCACTGAGAGAGAACGTAAGAGGGACAAATGACCCAGGGGAAGGTGCTCTGATTGACCCATGACCCCAACATTCATAGGGGTCCTCCCGATGTCCTGAGGCCCTGATGCCTTCTAGGACATACTGAAACCCTTAAAAAGCCACGCCTTTATTAACAGCATTGAACAAGCTCCATTTTAATACTCAATAATGTGCCAGGCGAGGGGCTCACATAAATAAGATACAGTCCCTGCCTTTGGTAACCTTAGATCCCAAGTGTGATGAAGCACTAATGGACGAGTTCCAGTGTCTTACTGTGGGATCTAATTTGGTTCTGTCTGTGCATGCTTAAAAAAGCGCATCCCCCTCCCCCACACCACCTCCAGATGAGAAAAGCCCATCAAAACAAAAAGTGAGGCAAGCAAGTGGCACCACTGCATACGTTTGGCTGTCTCCAACCCATGTTCCCTGATGCCCAGTGGCCCCTTCTCTGCTCTGTCTGGACTTGGTCACTGCCCAGAGCGGAGGCTGAGATCACAGGCTCCCATCCCTTCTCCAGCTGTAAGCCTTCCAGAGAGGGAACACTCCCTGTCCCTTGTCCACAGAATCTGCAGCCGTACCTTTGCTCAGAAAGGCAAGCGGCCAGCAAGTGTAAATAGCAAACCCATCAGCACCATTATCCAAACTGCAAGGCTGGCAGTATTGTCTTCACAAATTAAAAATGACACATCTCGGCGATTACAAGGCTCCCATAGACCTCACTGTCTGACATGCTGGTTCAGCCTAATTCCCAGACTGTTTCAGACACCCAAACAAATTAACACATGTTTTCAGATGATACAAAATTGTGTGTGTGTGTGTGTGCATGCACGCATTTCGAAACCACCGTTCGACCGCATTATCATCAATTAGACACTTGTCAGACGTTCACTGACCTATGAGAGGCAGCCTCTGCCAGCCCTGGGAGCATCAGCCCTGGCTATTTTTAAGAGCCAGCTTCTAGCCTTGGTCAGTGGAACGTACTAACCCTCCATGAAGAGCCCTCACTATCTTTTGAACTGGATCCACACCCCAGGCTGAATGAAGCTTTAGAACCAGCAAGAACCAGATGGCCCTCCAAGATCATTTCTGAATGTTTGGATCTGAGTCATTTGTATGCGGAAGGCTTTACAAAATAGCAATCTGGGTAACAGGCTCCAGGCTGAGTCCAGCTTTCCAGACAGCCCATCTTTGCCTACAATTGAGAAGACAAGTACAATATTGTAGAGCTCCACAAAAATATTACAGCGTTTCTCTATATGTGTAGCATCAAATACACGGAGGGCCCTTGTCAGGCTGTCACCACAATGGGAGTCCGCCATGCCGCCTTCCTCCCCTTCCCCCAGTTCTTCTCCTCTCTCTCCCTTGCACCTACAGTTTCCCTCGGAGCACAGGCAGGAAGCCAGCTTTGTGGATCAGCCAGCAGAGGGTACTACAATACTGGTGCAATAATCCAAATCACAGCAAATTCAGAGCCGAAACAGACTCAGACTAATTAAAATGGGCTTCAGTTTTATTATGCGCTAGGAGTTCCTCGCCAGAAAGAGGAAGGCTGTGGGATGGAAGAGATGGAAATAAAACTGGTAGACAGGACCAGCTCATTCAAGGAAGAGGAAAGGCAGGAATGTGATCCAGGATCACAAGTCCCAGGGGTGGGGCAGACTAGGCTCCAAAGTAGGGAGGGACCTAAAATAAGGGTTTGGCCTTGCAATCCTGCTTCTTAGTATTCACCCTAGAGAAAAGAAAATTTACAGTCATACAAGTACATGCACGTGGATATTCATAGCATTCTATTTATGACCACGTAAAACTGGGAAAAATCCAAACGTCCTTTAATCTGTGAATGGATAAACCAGGGGCAGTGTTGCCACACGAGGAGTATTACTAAGCAACGAAAAGGAACAAATTGTGGACACATACAACAACGTGGATGAATCTCAGGGGCATTAGGTGGAATAAAGAAGTCATTATTTTAAAAAAAAGTCACACTCACAGAATTGCATTTACATGACATTCTCAACAGGTCAGTGGTTGCAGGGATGGGGAAGAAGAGGAAAGCACACCATAAAGCAATGAGAGGGAAAAATTGTCCTGAGTGATAAATGTTCTGTATCCTGCTTTTGGTGGTGAGTGTATGAATCGATACATGACTTAAATCTATAGAGCTGTATTCAAAAATACAAATTTCAGGGCATGTTCATTTTTAAAAATAAAAATTTTAAAAACATATTTTTTAACATAGCAAAAACAAGAGTCAGGCACAGGGGTGCACATCTGTAATCCCAGTGACTCAAGAAGCTGAGGCAGGAGGATTGTGAGTTCAAAGCCAGCCTCAGCAACTCAGCCAGAACCTATCTCTAAAAAAAAATATTAAAAAAGGGCCAGGGATGTGATTTAGCACCGCTAAATAAATAAATAAATATTAAGAAATAAATAAACAAGCAAATAATTAAATAAATACATAGAGAGGCACATTCATGGTTGTTCTCAGAATGTGCAGACAGGTAGAGCACGGCAGTCCGGATCAGAGTTGAGCCCAGAAGGATAGGCTAACAGGAACCAGGTGAGAGCAGCCCCCACAGCCAACAGTTCCTATGCACAGAGGCATCTCACCGAGTCCAGCAGCTCAGCGGAAGGCACCAGAGGAGCCAACAAGCCCGACACAGTGGTGTTACTCTAATCCCAGAGTGTGCCCACCTTTAGGAACCATCTCCAGATGGCTCCAGCCACAGTGCTCCTCGCAGCTTGGGTAAGTCATCTTGCCAGACTTCTCCAGAAGGAAGTGGGCTTGGGATCCTACATAATTCTTCATCTCCCTGGTACAGTTCATGCCCTGGGCTCCTCTGTGTGTGGTATGTTTTGTAACCACACACAGAGGAACCCAGGGCATGAACTGTACCAGGGAGATAAAGAATTATTTTGTTAATTCTTAAGTGAGACCATGGGCCCCTCAAAGACAGACTTTGCCTCATCCTCTGAACCCCCAGCACAAAGCAAAGGGATAATTTCAGTGGATACTAAATAAATAATTCTTCTAATCTGAATCCCAGGCTGGATTCAGATTAGCCATCATCTTCTTAGTCCCAGCCCTGGGAAGGGTGGTGAGGCGCCTCCATCACCACAGCACATGGCGCGTGCCACCCATCATTGGATGACCTGCTTAGGTGTCGTCTCTCCAGCGCGACTCTCTAAGCTCCTTGAGGGCAGGAGCTGTGTGAATGCCTCTTGCCTGCGCCATGATGCACAGTGCCTGACACATGGTTCTCCTCACAGGTGTCCTGGAACAACTCAACAGATCCTTCTGTCTCTCCTGTTGTTGTCACATCCCTGTCTGCCCCCTGAAGGAGTCAACACCCATGACAGAGACGAACAGCCTCAGCCGACTTCTCCATCTCACTTGCCCATTAGCTTTGGGCGGGTGTTTAGTTGAGAGGGCAAGGGACCAACACAAGAGAGAGAAATCTCCTCTAACCCTCTTGTTGACAGACGAGGACCCTGGAGCCCCAGGGAGGTCTGGAAGCCCAGTGTGGACTCCTGCCCCAGGCCTGCATCAGGTCCTCACCAGCTCTCCTGCTGGGAGGTCTTCCCACCTGTCCTAGGGAGAGGACACCGTCTTACACTCAGGAGAAAGCAAGACAAAGGGGATCCCACAGCATCCTGTCCTCATTCACTGGAAAATCTACTGCCTCCCTCAACCTTCCATTTCTTCTTCTTGCTATTGTTGATTTTCTCAGAAGAACTGTGCACTAGTTCTTGTATCTAATTCCTGTGTCAGCCTTCTTTTATTCAATGTGGAAACTGCCAATTGAAAAAAAAATAGAGCTCACATCTCTCCAATCACCTCTGAGACCTCGCCGTGTTCTCCATCTTTGCCTAACTTGGGAGACTCAGAATCTGAGGGAGGACTAGCTCACATTTCTCCCATGTGGGTCTCTTGGATTGAGTGGGATGGGAGAAAAATCTTGGTTGAGAAACTGAGATCGGTGTATTGGTTCAGCTCTGCTGATACCTGGATGGGAGATTTGGGGTAAGTCTCTTCCTTTCTCTGAGTGTCGATTGCCCCTATAAAGTGCGTCAGTTGGATCAGAAGATCTCAAGGAACTTTGTAGTCTGACAGCATTACGTTTCTATATTTAATCTTAAATGTGGATGGGAAATAATTATGCACAAAAGACCTGGTAATTTGTAGTTTGATTCAACAAATAGGTACCAAGCATCTAGTCTGTTTTCAGGCTCCATGCTAACCAGGAGGGATAGGAAAATAATTAAGAAAGAACACTGCCTTAAGGGCACACAACCAACGGGTCAGAACAGGAGCTGGGAGCTAAGGGACAAGGCATACTGTTCAACTTGGAACAACTTGAGCCATCTATTTAACCTCTCGGAACCTATTTCTTCTTCTATAAATTATGAATAACAATGGATCCTGCTAGAAGTAAAGAATAAATGGGAGTACACTAGTTTTATGATTAAGTCGTTTATTTTATCATCTTGTCCTATTGAAACAGCATTTTTTCTTTCTCATCCATTCCTTTTTGCAAATGTTCTCCATTTTGAACCTCCACATCTCTCAGACTGAATATCCCACTAATGCTTTGAGATACCACTCAGATTCCACTTATCCAAGACTTACCTGTCTACTCCAACCAACACAGATAGGTCTCCCTTGCCTCCTGCTTTTTGCTGCTTTTAATGGTTACTTTGATGGCTATTTCCTATTGCTTCACAGTTGACCTGTGTTTATATGCTTTTTTTTGGGGGGGAGGGGTACCAGGGACTGAACCCAGGGGCACTCAACCACTGAGCCACATTCCCAGCCCTATTTTGTAGTTTATTTAAAGATAGGGTCTCATTGAGATGCTTAGTGCCTTGCTTTTGCTGAGGCTGGCTTTGAACCCATGATTCTCCTGCCTCAGCCTCCCAAGCTGCTGGCATGTACCATCATGCCTGACAGTTTATATGCTTTTATGCCCTTCTCAATGCCAG